AAAAAAAAAAAGCAAAGAAATTTGCTCCCCTATACGTGTCTATAAATTATACCCGCACGCGTTGTCGCTTGTTTACTTTTTGTCATTTTTTAGAATTAAATAAATAATTGCACTAAGATAGATAAAGTACATGACAGCTTAATCCATCTTAATCCATCTACGTAATCCATCTTCTTCTTTGTACTTTGACTTGCAAAATTAGGTTAATCGTAATTCAAAAACAATTTAAAAACTTTTACATCTATATCAGGCATGTAGTGCAAAAATGTGATTAGAGTAACACACATCACTATCAACTGCACATTTCCTTCTTTTGCATCTTCAGAAGGCTCCAAAAATGCTTTATTTGCTGTTAAATTGAAAGATGAAGAAACTGTGAAAAAAATTTTTAGTTTGCTAAAAGTTTTCATAAGTTTTGATCAAAGGATTTAAGTACACGATATCTGTATAACTTCATATTCCTATAGGTAACAACGGACAAAAGAACAAAGAGCTTGAAAAACTGCATTCATTGCTCAGTTGTTTAAAATTTTTCTTTGTTTAGGAAAAGCGGGAGATTCCAAACTCATAACGTTTTAAGCAATCATAGGTAATGATAACAATAAGCATGAATTTAGCAATAAAATTTTATTTCAGCAGCTGTCCTGCCGGTATTGACGAATACATTCAAGTTGGAAGCAAAACAATTACTTTGATAGTTGATGTTTATGGCCAAGGAACTATGAATGTTTTTAGTCCAAATGGTTTCTTTTAATTATCTATTTTGCTATCTTTGTCTCTAGTAAAACTTGCGCGGGTTGGGGAATTGTATAGGCTAACATCGGTCAAAAAATAGAAAAAAAGTTGTGTTGGATAACGGCTTCTATGAAATGACAATTTTATATGTAATATAATTGGCATAAATTCATAGAGAACTAATTTTTTCCAAATAATTCTCAAAAGCAGAAATATGTAAAATTATTCTCTTGGCTGATCGACAAGACAAAAAATGATTTCAAAGAAGAAAATTGCAATACTACTTAACCTCATTTTGTTTATCATAGTAACGATTTGGTAATTAAATTATTAAAAGTTTAGGTACAGTTGCTAGCTACACGAAGGCCGCAAGTTCAAGAACAAACCTAGTGGTAGTAGTAGAAGCTGACGTGCCAGGGTTATGGCGTATTGTAATAACTGGGAATAAAGCGTTCTGTGGAATATCTGTAAGAGGTCAATCGGACTTTGAAGTCTACGTAGCATTCACTTGGGATATGAGCACCGATAATGGTTTACACTCTAATGACGGAGAGGCATATCCAGTTGCTCACGGTGAGGGCTTTATAATCCCTGAGTAGCAGTAACGAAATCTCTGTTGCTGATAATTGAAGAAGAGCACCTTTTACAAAAAACCTCAAAAAATAAAGTAGAATTCAGTTTTTATTAGCGTAACAAATTTTTCTTGGTAAAGTGGCCTAACAATTGCATTTGAAGTCTACTCTTTTTTTCGATTAATGGGGTTACTGCACTTCGTTATTTACTCGCTTTTTTCTTATAAAACCAGAGAGACTCAGCGGGGTACTGTAAATGGTTCCACGAAAGCATTTCCAGAGCAAATCCACTGCAAATAAAGATGTAATAACTATCAACTGCGTACTGAATCATGCCAGAGATTGCACTTAGGCTTAGCCAACCAATTGTCTCAAACTAATGTGTGTTATTGTATAAAATTTAAAGTTGTCGATGCTTTTTTTTTTTCAGGAATGCCAAATGCACTTGTGGCCCATAGCAGTTTTGGTAAACTCAATTTTGCACAGGTTTTCAGCAATGATGAACGATCGTTGCTCTGGTCATCACCTCTTGTTGCTCGTCAAAATTGTGTCTATCAGTATATTAGCACGTGAGTAAAACTTCAATCAGTTACTTCTTTTATTGCCTTTTAAGCGTATGTTATTGATAAAGAAGCAAATTATTTAGAAAATTTACCAATTTGCCCCGATAAAACTTAAATTGCAGGAATGTGTTCATTTGTCCACAACACTCTTTGGCAGTCTCAGTTGACGGAGAGGATGAAAACGGATATCCAGTCCGGCGAATGTTTCATATCCATTGCGTAGGAACAATCCTGACAAGTAGCGAATTTTTTTTTTTTTAAATTAACCAAATCTAGTTTTGCTTTAAAAATCGTCTTTTTTTTTTATTCGAGCTGACAATACACAGCAATAGAATATTTTGAATGAAAAACTAGTTTTAGTTGTTTTTTACGTAAATCAAACTTTCACTATAATTTACGCATCTTTTTGTCTAACTCCATATTCACATTTTTTTTATTTGCAAACAAACGCCAGCATCTAATTTCAATGTGATTAGGGTAAGTTTTAAAAGCATAGCTGCTTACTTTTAGTTACATTCGTTTCCTTACGAGCAAAATTATTTCCCACACAAATAATAAAGTACTTTAACATATAATGCTAGTGATTTCGCAGCTGAAAAATTCTCGCTATTTTAGTTGCTCCTTTGCCAACCATTACAACACGACAACCTGTCATAACAACAGGATACCCTACAATTCAGCCTCCAGATTGCGACAAAAGCGGAAAGTTTGACGTCATGCTCGTTTTCGATGCTTCGGAAGGCCTTACCAAGGCCGACTTTATCACGGCACGTTTTAAGCATTTTACCTACCAGCCTTCGGGGAACTTTCTCAGGCCAATGCCTTAGCGCATTTATTGGCTAGCCGACTCTTTATTGCGAGAGTTGAAGAAGTAGAAAGTGCACATGACAGCAGTGAAACAGGAACGGGCAGCGGAGCGAGGCTTTGCTTCATCCAGTCTTACCTCACAGCTGTTGTCATTTACACGTTTATTGATATCTTCAAAGAAGAAGCTCTGAAGGCATTCTGGTGCACTGTTAAAGCGTCAACTCTTCACATTCCCTGTTCCGTTAGTTAATTCGACTACCACGCAATGCGTTTATGTGCATTCAAGTTTTCTGTAGCACACCAAAGTCGAAGAAAACAATTAAAACAATTCCTAATACAATGTTCTCTTGCTTAAGTAAAGAAAGTCCAGTTTTTGTCCTTCAAGCTAAGTTCATAAAAGTGAAAACAGTTCACCATAAATCTTTAAAGACACGGCATTTGTGACCTGCTAATTACAGTCAATAAGACGCCTCCTCTCTGGCAAGTAATTTAAGAAACCTCTCTCCCAAACTAGGAAGAAAAAAAAAACATTTTTTGAGCGTAAGATTTTATAAAATACATTAAGATGCAAACAAACCAAGAGAACCTAAGTCACCCACCTCCGCCTTAGATTTCATGACACCTACCGGCAGACTCTACGCCATTTAATGCAGCTTTCTTCTGAAGCGCCATCTCAGTATCGTGCCGTCTGCGTCGCCTTGCTATTCTCCAAACAATCACTACCGTCCGGTAAACTTTGAAATTGAATATTTAAACATTCTTCGTGGCCGAAATGTGATTTCACTGTTCCCAACCAATTTTATAAACTTTGTCGTTCTTCTCGTTGGTTTTCTCGTCCGTCTATCACTATTATGAGTTTAAGCCGGCCGTAACAATTTGCTGCCACTTATTACTTCCCAGCTTACGCGTAAATAATATGAGCATAACAATGTGGAGGCTGTCATAGAAATCCTAATTAAGACTTAACACAATCACCTGTGGTATGCTGCTTTTACAGTGATGTCGTTGCTGTTTCTCTTTCGCTCCTTCAAACACACAGAGACATGAGGCCGTCAGTCTGTAAGAGCCCGGCTTCTCGACTGCTCATCAAATGGCAAAAAAAAGAACTTCCTTTTTAAAAATTTTTGTGGAAAAACTACGTTTTTTAGATGGTGGCTGTGATGCAAGAACTGCCTTCCACAGTACCAATTGACCAGAGCCATACACGGTTTATATTAAGTACCTATACCGATGCATACCACACAGTCAACCCTAATTTTGAAATGATCAAGAGTAGCGATGACTTCCTTAAATACCTAGACGTTTTGCGACGTGTCGAATACGAGGGAACTATCGGCAACAACATTCAGAGGTTCTTAATGATAATTTCCGTTTAATACTCAATAGTATCTTACACTTCTCACCGTCTTCAAGGAAAATAAATTGGCCTTATCATGAAGAAAAATTTAAAAATTGTTGTCTTTGCCTTTTCAAAAGAAAATTTTAAAATATACTTTCAAAGTTCCAAAAAACCATTTGGAGGTTTCAAAAAAAATGCACGTAAAATACTTTTCAAATCCTTCACATCATCACTTGAATTATCATGTCCACACAATTAAAATGCTGTGTCGTAAAGTATTTCCGATCTCCTTATGCAGCAATAAATTTTGCACTGACGCCTGAACTATCAATCCCAAATCTTTCCAGCATTTTTGATGTCGCAAACAATCTGACATGGCGATCCGATGCAGTAAAAGTGATCGTATTCACTTCGTCGATGGGGTGGGACAAGTCAAATACTGGACAACGTAAGTCAACTGTTATCCAGTTGAAATAGTAACAGCAATAAACTTTCTCAATCTTTCCAACATATTTTTAGCCAGCCTATTCAAGATTAATCTTTCTAGTGATAGAAACACTCCCTATCACTTAAACTTGCAGCCTCATACTCTTTATTCAGCATTCCCTGACCCAACTGCATCCGCCACTGCTTTCAAAAGAAACGGAGGAAAAATTATACCACTCGGATTTGGACCAAACGCAGACCAATCTCAGCTCGTTGCGATCGGGAACGGCTGTACCAAAATGTCGATGAATCTAGATTACTTCCATAGCGTGATAATACCGTGGTTATCAGGCTCTATTTGCAAGTATGGTTTCAACAGTGCTTCTTTCTTCTCTCAAATTAATTCCATCAGTGAATTACACAAAATGAGAGTAACGACAAATTCTATAATGCCTAATCTAGTTTATGAGCGTAGCAGGAGCACTTTTTGAAATACTCGGAATTGGCCTGGAGCGAATTTCTTTTAGAAGTACAAGCCGACTCCCCTAAGCCTAACAGGAGTTTCATTAAAATGAGTTTTGAGAATAAAACCTTTGCAAACTCTGGTCAACTAGAGAACTTTTTAACAATTAGCTGCACATCAAAATTTCTATTTTTTTTGAAAAAAATTTTTTTCCATAACGGTCTTTTCTTACCTTCCCCCCAGCACCGTTGATCAGACTTTTCCGATGTCTAATTCCTTGCGGAAAGTTCCAGCAACCTTAAACCTGCCAATTAAGTAAAGAATAAAATCTCAAAAATCCTTCCCTCCTTGAAACTTTTCCAAACTGCTGGCAAATTTTGCGTCTACAAAAACCCTCACGGAAACTCTGACCAACAAAACCCAGCAGACTGCTGAAGTCCAGCATAAAATAAAATAAACTGTTCCTTAAAAGATACTTCCCTCAATAGCAACGCCACACACAAACCAACCATTTTACTCCGTTCCAAAAATGGTTTAATTTACAGACTTTGAAACATTAAAGCAGTGTATCCTTGCAGCCACTTAAAACAAACTAAAATCTCCTAAATTTTCCCATTTCAGCAGTAACTTGAACTGTTCGTGAAGGAAAGATGCCACACCAAACGAATATGCAGACAAAACTGTACAACTTCCATTATAATTTTAATTGAAAATGAGATTCTGACACTTTGTCAGTTCTTAACAATACTTACTGCTTTTAGAAACCTCGAATAAATGTTATTCCACAACAACTTCAATACCTAAAAACTGCTACATGCAAAAACAAACATATTAATCTCTCTTTCTAAATTGTGTTGACCGAAATCCCATGGGTATTAACGACATGGCTAACCCTCTGAAACCCCGCTCCATTTCAAGTCTTGTAACTTCTGCAGTAAAAGCCCCAGTTTCCCCACCAATTACTCCTTTGACTTCTAAAAAACTTAATTAAAGCCTTATTTTGAAACCACCAACGCTGTCTACGCTGCGAATACTTTGGGAAATTCTGAAAATTAGAGAATTCAAACCTTTGAACAGTAACGGAAGTAACGACAGAAGTAAGAAATGAATTTAAAAATTTATCGTAAATAAAAATGGTAACAATCACAACTAAATACCAAACAGCAATAAAAAGCATTCACCAAAATGCTCAACTAGAAAATATGGATCAAAATCATTTCAGTCACATTCAGCACTACAACGAACCAGCAAGTTCCCTATGACACACTCGTAAATGATCCTTCAATTTCTGCAAAGAAAGTACCTCCGGGAATTTGCAGCCACCACACCTGAATATTACTCAATATGAACATGAATAAAAAAATAAACAAGTTGTACTATTTCTGCAAAAAAAAAATTCTAGCAAAGGTATGATCTACTCCATAGAGAAAAGAACAAACAGCCCCTAGAAAATAATGATAGCCCATAACCTCTGCCCAAAAATTAAAATTAAGGATTTACCGCGCTAACTCGACAGTTCCTTCAAACGAATGCAGCATATGAACCCGAGACAAATGAGTTTTTAAATCTTTTGCGTTCCGCGCACCGTACTTACATTTGCCACACCTAACAAAAAAGAAAATAATAAAAATAACTTGTATCTCGCTAAAAAAACCGAGAAGACGATATTTAGAAAAATTTAAAATTAAACATCACTCTAGTGCTTATAAAAGAGAAACCAACATTCCTCTGAAGTGCTAAAAGTTCCTTCCCAGACGAAGTGTGCAATATCTGGTGGAAACTGACTCCAGTTCATAATCTAAATTTGTTTACGGAATTAAAAAAGATTCAGAAGTTTTCTCGCATTATCCAGCTTCAAAATAAATTGATGACTAATGTCATCGGCAAACACACCCGTAAAGCCTGACTGACTGATGCGTAAATGTATGCTTCTTTAGCCTATAGGCATCCACAAATGCAAAATCACATACAGGGCAAACGAACGGTTTCTCCAATAAATGCTTGCCCCTAAAAAGTTTTTTGCGAAAAGACCTGTTGAAAATGGTGGCAAGCTGAAGCTTTATGACAACGAAAAACTTTACTTTAAATATCTGGTCGCTTAAATCAAGCAGAAACTATAAATCTCAAAAAATAGTTCTTCAAAAACATTAACAAGTATAAAAACAAAAAGTTGACGGGGAAAAGAACCAAGCCTACGCTTCATGGTTCCTTAACGAATACTTTGACGATAATACTGTTGAGCAGTAAGCGCACTGAAACCTCTCTGGCACGTTACCGACACTATGTTTCTGGTTAACGTGCCGAGCAAGGTCACCTTTATACTAAAAAAGTAAATTTTATTGCAGATTATTCCCTAATATACGTCGAAAAGCAAATAAAACAAAAAGAAATTTATCACTTTTTTCTTAATAAAAATCATATACCAAAACCAGGCAAAAAACTCAACCACTAAAACTTATATTAAAAAATAACTTAAATTAAATGAAGTAAAACTCTCTTCGCTAATAATTCTGATAAAAAATAATTAAGAATTACGAAAACACTTGTTAACATACCATGTATCGTTTCTCACAAAGTTCGCAGGAAAACCTTCTTTCAACATAATGCACGCCTGATATATGCCTTTGCAGCTGAGATCTGAAGCAAATTTACAAGAATGAAACTAATCATCAAGATCCACTAAAAGCCACCAAAACCTAATAAGCAATTAAAAATCCAACAGTAGTATGTTAAAAAAATAAAGAATTATTATAGCAGAGGAAAGATTAATACCTGAAACGCCCAGAGAAATTACAGTAGCTGCATTTATAGAATACGAGCTCTTTTGCATTGTTCTTGCTTTTTCCTTGAATAACTATTCTTTGGGGACGTATATTTATTTATAGATAAATTAAAAAAGCGATGGAATTGAAAGTAACAACAGTTTTAAAAAGTTGCAGCAAATAAAGCTGTCTGGAACCTTTTTTTCGTAACTTAAGTAAAATATTTTTCAGAAAATTTGTGTCGAAACTCCATAAGAGCCGAATTCAACAGGTTGTTAGTGAAAATAGACGAGAATCCAAGTTAAAAGTAGTGAATTAAAATTTAAACGGCAAAAAGCATATTCCTACACAAAATTAAATGATTATAAAGAATGACATAAGCATTTTATAATGTATAGTATGTAAAAAAAAAAAAAAAAACAAAGTTTCTTAAAAGAAAATACTGCTTACCCGTAATACTTTTACTTCGATTTCCACCTGAAGCAGCGACTAAGCGAATTAGGTCATCAGTGAAAATCTCAGAAAAAGAGCAGCTTGAGTGCCTCTTTGTTTCCTGCTCTTCTGATAGCGGAACTTCCCGTGTTGAAGGAACCATCCTTGCCACAGTGCTAGACTTTCCTGGATTATCACACTGGGGCTCATCACCTTTCTCCGAGCTGTTAAAAATTGAATCAAATACTCTCTCTCCTGCCTGAAATAGCTTCAATACCAATAGATCTGCCACGAAATTCAGCCTACGTATATAAATGAGATGGCATTTTCTAAAAATCCTAATTCTCATCAGAAGAGTAGATAATTGCTTTTCAAGCGATAGACTTTCTTGATCCAACACTAAAAATCTTTTTAAAAATGGATGAATAATGAAATTCCGTGCAAAACGGCAAAACCCGAAGAGTTTATTTGCCACAGAAACAACCAGCGCTAAACTGATAAAGGTGTTAATGTGTCACTAAAATGTTTCTTTAAAAAATTAGCAACATCATCAACATCAAATGAAGCTGCAATCTTTCAAATAATGTGAGAAAATAACTACTAACAACTATGGAGCACTAGTATATCCAACTTCTACAAATGAAATACACTCTCATCGTTCCAGACAACAGCTCTCGGATGT